ACACACACACACACACACACACACACAAACGCTCAAAAGTTAGCGCTGGCTTAGAAATTAAGGCAAAAAATATATGTATTTCTTCAAAATATGACAAAACAAGTACTTTCAGTGTTTTTCAACAATTTTCTTTTTAATTTTATTATTTATCATATAATTTCTTGTCATTAATTTTCCAATTACATGTGTTTCCGAACAAACGTTTTATTTTTATACATATTTTAACATTAATTTTTAAAATGAACCCATCATATAGGATTACTTTAATAATAAAATAATTCATACTCATATTTTATTTTTTATAATCAAATACTCAAACAATTACTCAATTAAATATAAATCACGTACATGAGTGGTCTCCAACCTCTTTTGTGTCACCGACCAGTTAGTTAGGACAAGTACATGTTGTTTGCAGAACGGCAACCATTTTGTTTTGTTCTTTTTTTTTTTGGGCTTTTAAATTGCCAGTTATAAACCACCTGCAATGACAACAAAGACAATTATAGACTAATTCACCAATTTATTCACAACATTAAGGGGATGGACTATCTTGTCAAAATAGCTTCATCTTCGGAAATCATGGCTGCCGATCAGTCATCACTCGCGCGTATACGTCTCCTCGTACGTCTGGTCAATTTGTTACTATTACGTCCCGTTTACTACTACTTCTTTCATTTATCGGCGAATTCTGTTTATTTTAACTAGAAAACTAATATTAGAGTGGGGGACTCCGATTGGCTAGAGCCGCACATATTTCTGCCACGTCTGAAGAGTAAATTTGGTCACAGCTCGCGGGTTTGTCTCTGCGCGGCAGTACGCGCTAACCACTAGACCACCGGGCCGCCCGACGTACGGAATGTTAAGCATATTTACAAAACACCACAATTTATTATTCCGTCAGTTTATTTTTTAAAATTCACCGTGAATCAATTATCCAAAAATTTCATGACAAAAAAGCCCCCCCCCCCAAAAAAAACCTGAATACATCAATTTGAGTTAACCCGTTTTGGGGGAATGACTGTTAAATGATCATGCAAATGCTCGTTGGGCCAAAATAAAGAGCAGAGTTGGCCCCCCTTCTGCTAAATACTGCCATACAATGCATTTGGATGTCTTTGCAGCGTTTGAGTTCCCACAGATCAACTATGAAAAGTATGCGGGGAAGAACTACACGTACGCCTACGGCCTGGGTCTCAACCACTTCATACCAGACAGGGTGCATGCTCGGCCCACTGACAAAATGGCGCGCTCCCACCCGCTTCATTGGGTTTCACTTTGGCTTTGTTCTTGCGTGCAGATTTGTAAATTGAATGTGAAAAGCAAGGAGACCTGGATTTGGCAAGAACCCGACTCGTATCCCTCGGAGCCCCTCTTTGTGCAGACCCCCGATGCTGTGGACGAGGATGATGGTATGTATGCTCAACGCTAGTTATTTGAGTGTTTCTTTTTAAAATTGACCTCGGAAAGGCAATAAGGCCAACAGTATTGGATTTTTCATGACTTTGAGGTGGTCCACAGCCCTGTATCCCACTAGAATAGATTCGCCCCTGCCCTGAGCAGATCTCCACATTCAGACCCAAAGCCAGATGACAGTTTTGGGCAGTTGAGGATCTTTGTTAATCGTTAATGAGATATGGCAAAAAAGGGGAGGAAAATATTTTTGCAAACAAATATTTGAATTCATATGGTATTATCAAGACAAATGTCACCATTTTAGTTGGAAATAATTTAGTTGCATATCTTAGAACAACTCTGTCTGATGTAGTCGTAGTTGTCAAGTGTGTCTCACCCAGATGGGATGTGGGCATCATCCCTCCCTCCACCCACGGAGGCGCACATCTTTTTAACACTGGCGCCCAATAGGGTTGCGGGTCGTGTCAAAAGTTAGTTTTTATAAAAGCTGAGGGCCGGATACCACTGCTGTAAATTGTCCACAGGTGTGAATGTGAGTGTAACTGCGGGTTTGTCAATATGTGCCCTGTGTATTTGGCTGATGACCTGTCCAGGGTTTAAGACTCTTAGACGCTCCTAAGTATAAAAAGAAGTTACCCAAATTTGAATTTAAAGTGTACTCACCCAATGGCGCGGTACAGAGGGCGGCTACAGAGATGTGACGTGGAGGCGTGTCTTCTCATGAAACGACTTTCCCATCACACAAGCACAAGATGTTCATTCATGAAATGAAGTTAGCTACTTTATATGCTGACATTAAATCCAACGTTTGTGTACTCACCTGAGCTTTGTGCCTGGTAGGTGACTCTCTTCACGCAAAGACGATAAAAAAGGTTCAACGTTCATATCAAAACACTCAAGTGTGATGGTGGAAGGGAGTACAAAGCAGTTCAACTTTTAATATCGTGTAGCCAAAAAGCCAAATAAAAAGCAAACCCAAATAGACATCACCTTCAATGGAAGTGTGCTCAAGAGAGGTGATGTCCACGTGTGGCCAGGCGTGCTGCTGACCATCGTGGTGGCCCCCGGCTCACAGAGACCAGGGTACCTTCTCATCCTCAATGCCAAGGACCTGTCAGAGATCGCCCGGGCCGAGGTGGAATGCACTATCCCGGTAACCTTCCACGGCATGTACAAACCCTGATGGCTGACATTTTGGGGCTCATTCCAAATAAAAGCGCTCTCTGAATATGTGAGGCCTTTTTTGTGTGTGTGTGTTTTGAGGAGAACATTGTGCCAGCAGGATTTGCTTCCCGTCGAGTCAAACAAGTCTGTAAGCCAACATTGTTGGGATATTTGTGGAGATTAAATATGTCACCATAGAAAATGGGAATAAGCAGTGGTGTTTTAAAGACGGATTATTACGCAACTCTGATCCCCAGAGTAAAAGTGCCTCCGTGTTGTGGTGTAGAAAATCTGATTAAGCGCCTCAGCTTTTATTTCTGAAAGAAAAAAAAAGAATGGTGCACAAGAAAAACGGGAGGGCCCTAAATGCAACACGACAAGAGGAAGTATAAGTAAGAATCATTCCAAGGATGCTTTTTCCTTATTTATTGTATTTTTTTCCCCCTTTACACACAAGGGCCGTTTCGCCCTTGTTCCAACAAACCAACACAAACATAAGAAATACAAACAAGATAACAAGAAACAATCCTTAGACTGGTTGTAAAAACACTGAAAAGGAAAAAAAAAGTGATTTAAAAGCTATTTTCATAACTCGCACAATTTGGGTTTGAACAGAGGATTGCAGTGACATCTTGCCCTGCCTTTCCACTACCCTAAATACAACAAAAATAATAGTTAAGAAAATGTCACGCTACCGCCACGCTAACCTGCAGCAACCAAAACAAAAAAAGAATGTCATGATTATATATTGTAACAGGCGAGTAAGTGGACTCAAGGAAACCTCTGTCCGTGCACTACTGAGGGGAGAAAAAAGTAAGTGTTGATAGTGCAAGGTCTACATATATTAAAAAGATATTGTTTTAGTTTTTTTTTTGTTTTAAACATATTGTTCTAAAGTGCAAATCAGTGGTTTGGATGAAAAGTGTGCAAGCATGTAGCGATCCGCCTGAGCCCTTTACACTGGCTGACCTCCTCCTGCTGCACACGCGCCCACAGCAACCACACACACGGGCACACACGCGCACACACACTCACATATATAATTTGATTTAAGCACCACCTATTTTTAATTTGACATCATTCAGCAGTTTATTGATGGACTGTATTTTCTGTGTACTTTTCATGCCCTGCTTTATTCTTTATATTTCGGCAAATAGTGGCCGGGGCCAATTCATCTGAGGCACAGGTGCTGCTTTTTTGGTAAGCAACAAGGTCCAACTGCACATTTAAGCCTATCATGTCTGTGTGGGAACTGACATGAATAAGGTGACCGTATTTTTCAGACCATATGGCGCCCCTACAGTCTTTTACTTTTCTCAGAAAAAAAAAGGCAATGCACCTTGTAATCCGTTACGCCATATGTATGGATATCGACTTTTCAGTTTGTCGTTTTTAATTAATATTCCTTCCTATTTACTTTAATATCCACGTTCTCATTCGCATCTAATAGCGAGGAGGCGTACATGTTTTCATCATCGCAGAACTCGAACTACATTCTGCTTCTGTGTCTAACAATCATGGGAAATGTAGTTCTACGAGCTGAATGCTGCAGTCAGACCAAATGCCTGCTGAGCGTTCCTGGCGGTGCGTTTCCAATGTCACAATATGGGACAATGTCATTGCGGTCTCTGGGACACAGAGGTAAACAACATAGCCAGCTTCCAACAACTGCCGGGGCTGAGCAAAAAAAGGAGCAGGCTATGGAGAATGATGAACGAGGAAGTTGGCGAATCCGATGAGTGTATTGATTTTTATTGTAGCTGCTTCAGTGTCAACCAAGAAGGGTTTCATAACACAACCACCAGATTGACGAGCGATGTTCAAACTACTTTTCCAACTGTCAAAAGAGTCTGTTCTCTTCTCCGCTCGAAGCATCAAGCGTGTAGTTTCATGGTGAACAAAAGCATGCAAGACCTGGTCTGAACCTAATGTGATAGAGCTAAATCTATCAAATAAACATACACTGTGGTCACCGTATTACCATTTGCAAGTGTCAAGTGAAAATGTGGACACAACATTGTGGCGCTTAGGGGTACACTGAAGACACTTGAATTCGTATGAAAGACTGCTTATGTGCATCGTGGGTGCTCTTGTTTGGTGAGCGACGGAGTCCAAATACGCAATTGACTATGTGCGTCTAATGTCTGTGTGTGAGGGGACTAATGTCATTGCAGGGACTCCCTGTTTTTTTCTGAATAAGGGCATCTTATTGGTGGCCACTATTTGATGAAATCTTGAGTACTGAATATGCGTGAGGCAAGACAGGGGGCTTCAAATTAAAGTGTTACATTAAGTTCATTTCAATTATAGACATTTTCACTGGCTCTTGCCTGTGAATGACGCGCACATTCGCGCACCAGCCAATAAGAATGAATAAATAGATAAAGTATAGCGTTAATGGACTGAGAAATTAGGCAATTGCTAATACGGTGGGAGTTCACGTGACACACTAAGATTTTGGGTGAATAATTTAATAGTCAGGTGACCACTGAGTCCAGCTCAAGTGGCCACACACACACACACACACACACACACACACACACACACTTCTACTACAGCGTTGTACTTAGCGAAGGTTCATAGTGTGTGTGTGCGTGTGTGTCTAACACCTCAGGCCCAAATATATGTGTGTTGGGGGGGGGGGGTTGAAAATCATTTTTCTTGAAGTGCAAGATGACAGCCAACCTGATTGTTGTTGTTTTTAATCCCCACCCGCTGCTGTTGCGCGTAAGGCGAGCTGATGGTGAGAGAGGAGGACGTGCGCGTCAGTTGGTCTCATAGGTGGAGAGCAGGGCGGCATCGACGGGTTCCATGCAGGATGGGCAGGTGAAGGATCTCATGAGCCAGTCGTCTATGCAGTCCATGTGGTAGATGTGCATGCATGGCAGGAACCGCACCGGGTCGCCGTACACAAAATCCAGCATGCAGATCACACACCTGCAAATGCCCCCAAAGAAACGATCAAAACAAAACAAAAACCGGCATTTATCTCCTCTTTTTTTTTTTTTTTTAAACACAGAATACCGTGTACTGGGTAGACATGATTTTGACATTATTGAAATTGTATTTAAAAAAAGTGTTTTTATGATCCTGAAATTGAATTGACTATTCATGAACACATACGTTTTTGCAGCACATTTTGGACCCAAAGAGCTAAAGAGTGACATCAAAAATGAGTGACAACTCGTAAGACTTACTCTCGGATCTTCTTCTCTGAGCCATCTTGGCCGCCATCATACACACCCTTGGGCAGGTGCTGGATCAGTCCAATGCGCTGGGCGATGCGGATCTGTTCCTCCTCCGTCAGTTGAGTGGCCAGACGGGCCTGGCTGCGTGTGGGATGGTACATGGGCATGTGCGCCTGCTCCTAATGGAGCACAGACATACAAAGAACAATCCCAGAACAGGTTTTCACTTTTGTCTACAACACAAAAGTGGTCTGGCGAGTTACGCTTACATGACACACACATGCACGCGCTCGCACAAAAACAACAACGTGCAAATTTGATGTTTTGGGAGTTTGGGGATAACAGTGACGATGTTAACTATGTCTGAATTTGCTCCATGTCTCTTTTTTCAACCCATTTACCAAATGAAATGTAAATTACGATCAGCGTTAGGTCTCACTTCCAAGCATTCTACCTCACACATGGAAGTTACTGTAGCAGAAAAGCCTAAAATCATCATATAAATCATTCATTCCTAATCCCAGGTCATTCGTGAAGTAAATTTTTGTGCGCTCGTGCCACGCCAGGTCTGATTGAGCTCCTATGAGAAAAATGCCCTCTGGCTAGTTAAACCCCCCCCCCCCCCCTCGCTCACCTGGTAGGGCGGAGGCGGCTCCAGGTCTGGATCGGTCCCGTCCCCGAAGCTCGCCCTGTCCGACTGGGACTCTTGCAGCAGAGAGATGTCGTCCGAGGTGGGCGACTTCAAGCAGTTGCCCATTTCGTACCTCCTTTCTGTTGTGTCGCTCCCAAGTAGGAGATGTGCTCAATGTAATGCTACAAACTACGCTCACGGTGGCGTTTGTATCGTTCTACCGTGATGTCACACACACTAAATAAGAATTAACTGGAGAGTCGGCATGTTTGATGTCACTTTAGAGTGAAGCCGCCACAGTTTTAGCTCATGTTTATTTACTCCGCGTTGAAACCCAAAACAAAGCACTCCTGCTAACGGTTAGCCAGCTAGCTTTGTCCACCAACTGGGCCACTTCCTCGATCGGCGCCGCTCATTTTCTCGCTCCAACAGGATGTTGCAAAAAAAATAACCACAACGGAAGCGGCGCCGACAGTTTAACTAAACCGTCTCGGGCTCCGACAGTGGCGACATTTTGGTGTTCAATCCGCCACGAGTAACATCAAAATAGTTTTCAACCTATCCTGCCTCACTCGACACTGACATGTTAGTGTCGTTTGGACATGACGTCATGACAAATCTTTGCGCTGATTGGGTGGTTTCAGCATGATCTAAAACAATGCGAAAATCCTTGTCCCCCCCACTCCTTTTTTTTTTTTTGCTTCGAAGCAACGAAAACGTCATTGCCCCCAAAAGTAAACATTACTCGCGCATACGATTTAGGTATATTTTATTCTTATTTCTGATCCATTTTGTCATTATTAATCATAACTCATGATTTGGTGTTCACTACTTTTCATTAGTGATGTTGACATCTCGTGAGGCATGACACGTTCAAGGTAGCCGGAAATAGGTACATTTTTGAAGAATATTCAAATACTGTAATTGTCTTGTTTCCTGTTTTAGTGCATCAATAAGCATTTGACACGACAGCGCAAAAGCAGAGCTGTTCGTGAAGCATCACGAATGTTTAACAATTTCATGTTTCATGTTTTGTGTACTTGCTTGTTGTGCAGGATTCAATAAATGCACACTCAATACGGTGTGGATTTAAGAACACATTTATTTATATATACAGCTATTGTACAGTGAAAAAACAACAGTTATTTGCATTTTATTTTTCTTTGCATGAAGAAATTCGTTTTTTTTGTGATTGTCACAGATTTGGCTTTGTTGGGCAATTAAAACAAAACAAAAACAAACAAAAAACATTAGCGACCATTAAAAGTAACGTTTTACTTGTAAAGCTCACCATCTTTTTTATGGTTTCTTTATTTTCTCTAAAATGTTATGAATAATCTCTGTACATTATTAGTAAGTAGTAGAGTAACATTTAAGTAAATGGTTAAGGATGCGTTTTCAGTGTTTCTACAGTCATTGTCTGCTGTGCTTTCTATTTCGAATATTCACAAGACAATGATGAATAAATGTGGCGTGTCAATGCTGTTCCTGATAGATTAAATTGTTCCCATTTGTAAAGGGTACTGACTGTGGGGTTGGGGTGGACCATCAGGAATGACACTGGAAAGATTCTAAAGATTCGTTTAGCTGGTTGAAATAAGCATTTTTCCCTATTATACTACAAGTGCATTCTTATCTCAAAAGTCATTAATGAAAGAAAAAAGAAAAAAATGACACCCTCTCATGCAGATGTTTTCATATTGTAAAAAAAAAAAAAATCAATCTGAGATTGTTGATCATGATGTGGAAAAGTAGTGTCAGCTCCTTTGCAGGGACGCTGTGATGTCACAATGTATTTATAGAGAAAAGTCATTGATAGGAAAATGTAGTTTGAGTACATATTCACAATAACCCTGAACACTGCTAAGATCAACACAAAATCATTTGATTCATTGAATAGTGCTGTGCAAAAGTCTTAGGTCGCCATTAACTTTGCTGTTACTTGTTTGTGTGTATGCAATGGCATTAGATTAAACACAGAGCTCCACCAGGGCCCACAGAAGTGAGCATGGCGAACAAACGAGAGGTGCCATTCTGAGTCTTGGGGGTGGACTGCTCCATTGATGCTATAATGTGTTTTAAAAAAAAAAGAAAAGAAATAGCATATGAACCTTTATCCGAACCCTCACCAACAATGTCACGGCTTTTTCCATGACTTGTGCACCAAGCCAGTAAAAAGTCATGGCAATACCGTGTCACTCTGTCAAATGAGGCTCAGATACATTGTCCTATTTGGACTTTTGCTTGTCCTATTTGTCTTGTATTTTTAAGCGGGCTACGCACATACTGACAATCGGGCTGCATTCGAGCCTTTTGCCCACCCTCCTTTCAAATCAAGGTCAGCAAAGGGCTGATTGTCTGAGAGATTATCCCGAGCAATTATCCTACGGCGTGGTGGTTTATGATGTGTGATTTTTCCTCTCCAATCTGCGCAGAAATTTGGGTGGGGACAATCGTAAATGTTAAACATGTTTGATGTTTATGAACACAAATCAACACTCAGATGGGCCGAGCGACAGACTGCGTGATTGTGACATGTAGCCAATTAGGAACCTAGAGCTTGCATTGATGCCGGACACATAAACAGACAAGTGGTTGCGTAGACTAGAGTGTTTGTTTAATGTGTCGCATAGGTCCTTCCAACCATTTGCATTAGCACTTGTCCTAATTCATTCACCTACAAAGAGTAATTATCGTATTTCAATTCAAATACACATTCCAGACACGTAATTAGGTACCCAGTTGATCCTTTTATCTCTCAATTTTTTTTTTATCACACTTGTCCTCATTCGGGTCAGGGCAAGAGCTGGATAAATTTGGACAAAACAACACAACCCCCCCCCCCCCCCACACACTATTTTTGATTATTGAAATCATGATTAATAAACATGATTATTTTTCGATTTGGGTGATGTGGAGCCTATCTCATCTGACTTTGGGCAAGAGGTGAGATACTTCCTGGACTGATCGCCAGTCAATCCAAAATTACACAATAGGTAAACAAAAATTTCCACTCACATTCACACCTTTGGACAATTTTACATGCATGTTATGTGAGGAAGACTGAGTACCCAGTGAAAACATGCAAACTCCAAATAGGAAGGGCAGGATTCAAACCCCGAAGCTCCAAACTGTGAAGCATATGAGCTGAACCACTAGGGCACCTTGCTGCAGCTCACAAGTCATTCGACACAATTAAAAATAACCAGGAGGAGAGTTTCTAAAGGCAATGTATCACAATTACCAGAAAAGCTAACAGTTCTCATGCTTCTCGTTCTTCTTTGTTTTTACCAGTAGTCTGGGTGCCCAGTGGCACAGTGCTGCCTCTCCTCTGACAAGTCAGTCTTCATACTACGATAGTCATCTTTGTTCAATGAATCTCCACTATTTCCAGAGGATAGGAAGTAATTGGCACTACCCCAAAAGGTTTTCAGTACAGTGTACTGCAATGGCTTCTCAATGCATTAAGATGGAAGAAAATGACTGATTTTGTTTAAATGAAAATCCTCAACTCACTCCAAGAGATCCTCGGCACTCAGATGCCTTCAGATATCAAACCTTCAGAGGTTTAAAGTACAGTGTACTGCAATGGCCTCTAAATGTCAAAAGTTGGAAGAAAAGGACTTATTTTGTTGAAATGAAGATCCTCAGCTCACTGATGCCTTCAGATATCACCAAAGCAAGACAGCTATTGCTTTGGCTTGAGCACAAAACAGCAAAGGGGTGACTATCTCAGTGAATAACAGGATTGGCTCGCAAAGAGATTTGCAAATAGGCAGATTTGTGAGGGCCAAACTACAAATATGGGCTGGCTCACATGAAAACAGCAGTAGGCACATGATTTTTTTTTTTTTTTTTTTTTACTTGACGTGTTGGGTTGTTCACATTTTTAAAATTGGTCATGTTGAACATCAGTATGTATGTAGTCCGCTTTTCTCTCCCCATGGTGTGGCTGTTTCCAATGAAGTACCATTCCTCTATCGTCAAGTAAAAGGCAGGAAGTAGACCTTTGTTTTCTGTTTGAATAGTAAGCGTTTGGCGTGAATTGGCAAGGAAAGTTTCAGGAAGAAGTGTTCTTTCCTGTTGTCGGCTTGAGTTTGACAACTATGAGGGTACACAATGCAGCAAAAAGTCGCCGTGTCTATGTCTCTAGCACCGGTCGTCCTCCTCTGTGTCGCTGAGCGGATCGCAGCCCGCCACGGAGGCCGTCTGCGCAAGGCGCTTGCGAAAGTGTCCGTTGGGGACCTGCCAGCCGGTTCGCAAACGCGGGCCGGCCGAGCTGATGGTGTTGGCGCGTCCCAGGCTGCAGGCCACGGCCGCCTCGAAGGTTAACGTCTCCATGGGGCCTGTGGGATCGGGGCTGTGGTCGTCCTCCTGCGAGGCCATGAAGGGTTCGGAGGGGTAGCGGCGCAGCGGCGATTGGTGTCGGCCCACCTCGCCCCCTTGCTCGCCGCAGACCGTCTCCTGGTCCCGCCTGGCTGTCTCCGTCTCGTTGTCCTGGCTGACGGAGGGGTCGGCGCGACAAACGAGCGGTGAGTAGGAGATGTGAGGACGAGAGCGCATGGGGGTGTGCGATGAAGGCCGTCGGACGCTGGGGGTGCTGGACTCTGATGTGGAGGGCACGGGACTGTCTGAGCTGTTATCCTAAGGGCAGAAAACAACAACAATCAGTCAATCGTGCTCGAGTAAGGAAGCGAGGGCAACTCATATTGGTCCTTTATTTAATTGATACGCTGAAAAAAATGCTGTTGAAATTATTTTATTTTGTCAAGTGGCTGCACATAACAGAAGCATCTGGAATTCGTTAGATTTTTTTTTTTAAGGTGATATAGTTTACTTAAAAAAATGTATCTGGATTCAGATGATTTTATTTCATGCAACCACTGCATGAAACAAGATTGAATGAATTCAACACGCTATTTTGTAGTGTATTTTTAAATTTGGTTCAAAGGACAATACAAAAACATTATTTCCTCTAAAATGTTCAACATGATTTTTCCACTTGTATGCATTATCCAATTATTTTGAACCTGTTTGTCTCGGGGCTGTGTCCTCTCCACACTGGAGGAGCGTGACGGCTGCAGGCTGCGCTCTTCCGAGTTACAGCGGGACGCGTCCGGAGAGAGAAGGTGGCAGCGCTCCTTAGATCGGCCTCTGTCCCGCTCGCCCTGCTGCCAGTGCTCGGACCGAGACACTGGCAGACAGATAGAGATGATGATAATGATGATAATGATGATGATAATGATGATGATGATTCCAAGGGGTGCCCGGTTTACGGCGGTTCCAACATATTGCTAGCATTGGGCCGAAACCTCATAATGGGCAATTTCATATTTTTCACCAAGTCATCAGAAACAATAAACGGCGTTTGTAACCTTATCCCTGGCTTTGATTACCGTATTGGCCCGAATATAAGACGGTGTTTTTTGCATTGAAATAAGACTGAAAAAGTGGGGGTCATCTTATATTTGGTGTCTAGACATTATACCCATTCATGACGCTAGATGGCACCAGATATCATTGAAGCGAATGCTGAACTTGACTCCCCAGGCCAAAGTGAACTCCTGTCAAGAAAAATAAAAATAAAAACAGCAGTAGCACGAAGAAGAAAAATAAAAAATAGCAGTAAGAAAGAAAAGAGAAGAAAATAATAGAAGCGATAACAGAAAATGGAGAAACGTAGCGACAATCAGGAGAAAAGTGGGTCGAAGATCGGCCAGGTTAACCGGCAGCTGAAGGAGAAGTTATGATGTAATTTACATTTCAAAAACCACAAGCCATTCATTTATGAATGTGATTGCACTTTAGTTTACATATTTAAATGTTCAGATATTAAGATTTGAATGAGGCGAAATAACATGCTTTTTGTCTCAAATATATTGTTATAATCATTTGTTTCAGATGTACTGTAATTATTTTCTGTATAAAAATGAATTTGGTGTTCAAAAAGTCTTTTTTCAAACTTGAGTCTTGAAAAAGAGGGGGTCTTCTTATAATCAGGGCCGTCTTATATTCGGGCCAATACGGTAATAATTGCAACAACCAAAAAAAATTTAACCTGAGTTTGAAAATCCAACCCTGTCTTCGTTTTAGGTTGGTCTGAAGACTCTGATATGCAACAATCAACTATTTTGTGAGATTTTGTAGGTTGATGAGACTATGATTCATTTTGTCTCTGCAAAAAAGAAACTCCATCACAAACAGAGGACCTCTTGTATACAGAAATATGTTCTCAATCGAGGAAAAGTGACTTGTTGACAGACCTGCAGCCTTGTAGCTCTTATGTCGGGGTCGATAAAAGCGCTCGGGGCTTCTCTCGTCCTGCCATAGGCCGTTGACTTGTTGATCCGAAATGGTGGAGGCGGAGCGCTTCATTGATCCGCCGGCAGCCTCTGCCTGTAAAAACAAGAAAACATGAAAAACACCAAGATTAGATTCAGATTATTAAAGATGGATATTTTCATCTGCGTGCTTCAGTAAGAAGGCTGAGCCTCTGGCTTCACGTATTTTTTCAAATGTTAAATTGAAGTTATCTGAAAGTACCCGAAAGCATGATGTATTGAACATATTCACTCAAATCGAGACATACAAACGTGATTATTTGAAAGCAGATTGTAACAGGCTAAATCTTATCTACCAGCCGGTAAATAACACAGGACAATCTTTGTTCCCCCTCCATCACGAAGCAAACTACGAATGCATTGAGAAAGACATCCCTTTTTTTCTGTTTCATTTGAAAGGAAAATGTCTTGTTACAAGCATTCTTTCCAAAGTTCGAGATTTCTTCACACCTCTATGACATTAAAAATTCCAAAAGCATTCGGAACATTCAAAGGAACCCTGCAGCTTCTTCCTGACTGGAGGAAAGCAGCGATCCACCCCAACTTGTCTGTCAATTTACTCTTCATCCGATTCCAAAGCATCAAAGCCCAAAAAACACTTCTTTGTGTGGCCCATGAGGATAAAAAAACGAATCATCGCCCATGCATCTGCCAAGAGTCCAGGCTGTGCACACACAGTAGACCATATCATGCAGGAAGTTTGTACCTGCAACTCTACAGCCAGGCGGGGCATGGAGGAGGCCCGCATGCACAGGCCCCTCCCTAGCGGAATCCCCCAATGGCACTCGCCCACCTGGGTGAGCAGAGACAGAGGAGGAGGAGCGCCTTCATCATCTATCAAGCCACCGGCACCGGCGCCATAGTCCAGATCGGGAACAGACCAGTTAACAACAGGAAGAGTGATGCGCCACAGGGAAAAATGGGATCCATCTTTGAACTTGAAGTGTCATGCATGTTCATATCTTGAGAGCCGCACACACAAAGCCGCACAAAAGAACATCTGACTACAAGGGGCGACAGGCGCCACTAGCCACTAAAACCGGACAGTTTGGAGACAACAAACATGGACAACAAGCTGTCTTTCCTTCCACGAGAAGACCACATGAATGTTCTGTTGTGGCGCGAGAAAGCAGTTTGAAATTAATGCAACCAATAAATTGCAAGTGTCAAAGGTTTTCTGTGATGTGAACGAGATGGACGAAAAGAATTGGGACACGGAGGAAAAAATTTCAAAGAGTTTACACTTTTTGGGGATGACTTTCGAAAAGATTATTTGTGTCCCTTTTTGTTTTTTGTGCAGTTATAGTGGAACCTCCAAAGTACAACATAGTCCATTCCAGTATGCTGATATTTGTGTCTGAAAAACACTGGGGAGCACAATTTTTGTTGAATTAGGTCTGACAGGTGTTTTTAACAAAATTTTGGGTGCAGAATCCAAAACGGACTTTCTTTATCACATCATGTTTTTGAGGTGTAGGATCCTCGTTTTCTTAAAAAGTATTTAATAAATTGTGTGTATGTAAAAAGCTTTGAAAAAAACAACATAAACGGGAATAGAACTTCCAACAGTATGCCCAAATTGCAGGAGAAAAGCCATCACTAATCCTCCTAATTCCTACGAAGCTAGCTTTCTGTCTGCAGATACTGATTGCACAGACCTACAACTGCACTGTCGCAATTGCGACTGCACAAACAAGGCGCCACCTAGCTGTAGATGAGTCCACCTGTCTGCGACTTTTTTTTGCTTACAGTGTCACAGCTAATCAGAGGAATGTTGCTAATCTGGAGGGTAAAATAGGGAGAAAATCTTGACGTGCTAGAAAAAAATTGATTGCAATTTTGGAATCAGCATAGGCCAATTTGTTTTATCAGCATACAAATCTTTAGGGCAGTGGTTTTTAACCTTGTTAGAGTATCGAACCCAACAAGTTCATATGCACATTCACCGAACCCTTTATTAGTGAAAAACAAAAATATGACTTTTTACAAATTCAGGATGTCAAAAATGCATTTATTAAAAACAGAAAAAAGTAAATAAAATTTCAAGGCACAAGTATATGTTTTTTTTAATTTTACGACATACTATCACGACAGTCACCCGTTGACTATTGAGTGAACTAAATTTCCCACAGTACTGATTGGAGAAGCAATGTATTGTGATCATCTGCAGCCAGTGATGGCCAAGCGGGCGTGTCATAACTAATTGACATGTTGAGTCGGGTGTGTCTTAACCACCATGAGGCTCCGACGAACCCCTGAGACCGATTCACCGAACCCCTGGGGTTCGATCGAACTCAGGTTAAGAACCACTGCTTTAGGGGCTCTGTTTTCCTGACCGAAGTAAACTTTGCTTGGTGGGTGGCATATCTTTGTATTGCAATGGTTTAGTTGGTAACTTCACAGATAAGCGTGTGCCATCAAATCTGTGAGAGGGAGGTTTGCGCCGTTGAGGGAGTGGTCACAGCCAACTTCAATTATAGCCAATCAAAGCGTCTCCTGCTGGTGCACTAGAGTGTTGACATGACAGAAGCACGATTGGAGACCGTCCCCCACCCGCACATTTGTGTGCCCCATGGCTGTGCCGGCCAATGAGATGATTTGAAAAATATAATACAATGACATTGTCTACCATGCTCCCTGGACTGAAGTCACACAAGATTTGCAAGATGATGACATCATGTTTGACATATTTTCTCAGAAAAATTGGCATGAACTCCAAATTGTTTAACTTTGGAGGCTCAGTTGAAGTGTAGATGACAGTGATAACGTGTACAAATAGTTGCTCTTTGCTTACCAAGTTTTGTTGTTGACCAGCATCTGTGTCCGAGCTCATGGACTGCAAAAAGAGCTCCTGTGGTGAAATAGGACTCAAAGCCACAAAGCCCCCACGTGTCCTGTATGGTTATTGGACACACAATAAAACATGTAAACACGTAAAAAGATGCATGCATGCTTGCAAAGTAAAAATCAACTTACAAGGCGGATCCGGCGCTGTGGGCCATCATGGGCAGAGGCTGCGTGTTGGAGAGAATGTCCTCTGGAAGGGTGGACGCATCCAGACGCTTGAAGATCAGGTTGCTCTTCTGATTTCAAAAACAGTAACTACATTTTAACTTCTATTCGATTTTGAAATGAAGTTGAGGACGCCATGATATCGTTGGCTTGACCTGAGCTTCCAGCTGCTGCCGCAGCTTCTTGGCCTTGCTCTGTTTGAAGTAGTCCATGATCATCATGGAGGCGTAAATCTTCCCCACCGTCATATCTGTGTCTGCAAACGCGACTCCTGTCAACGCTACAGCTAACGCTAACGTGGCTGCTTGACCATCACCACGGAGGCCCCACCTTTGTTGATGGGCACCAGGAGGTCCAAGTTCTTCTGCGGCAGGTAGGGCCAGATTATGCTGATCTCCTTTTGAAGTTCGGCATCCAAGGCGATGCGGTCTTCGCCACCTGTGACACAAGCACTGACAAGGTTTTGCCTCAGCTGGGAGACGGGAGAGATTGTACACTAGCGCAAACAAAAGGAAGGCAGTGTGCTTGCTATATGAGTTACAGTATATTGATGTGACGCTTACTGAACGTAAGAAGCCTCATTATCGACCGTTTCTTTGAACACGGCATGCCATAATTAACTTGATGAGGCCCATGCTGCTTCACGAAGACATGATTATTTACATTATTTGATCGTGGCTGCCTTTAAAGCAGCTCCTATCCCTGTTTCATAATATCCATCCATCCAGGATGGATGGATGGATGGATGGACGGATGGATAATCTATGAATGACCTTGCCCATCTGTCCGTTTTAAAATCAAACATGGCCCTAGAGCACTGAATAAGTTTACCTGCCACTGGGCTGGACGCACACAGAAAACATGCATGCACATCTGCTCCTCACCTCGGGCTATTTTGATGTCCAGTGCCGTGCGTATGAGTGACATGAGGGTGGAGGTGAAGTGTACTGTCATGTCCTCGTCCACCGGCATGTTCATCAACACCAGCCTCTGTGTGACAACAAAAGGGAGGAGCGTTTTCCACACTTTTGTTTCCTAAAACCCTTCACATTCCTTGATGAAGAGCTGGATCTTGTTACCTTATAGGCGATCTTAGCAGGGCATTTTTTGCCCAGGCCCAGCGGTGGAGACATGTGTGTTAACATCTCATACATGGCGGTGTAGTGGATGCGTCCACTTCATCGTGTAATAAGCCGGAAGGAGAACAGAAAAGAGAGGCATCATTGTTCTGTATCATCTCTTTGGTCAACGCAATTCGAACACATCTGCTGCCCTCTGCTGGAGAAACCAGTCAAACTACAGTACAGTACATCGTGGGGTATGCTGGAGAACCCTCCGCCACTTTAAATTTGGACATGAAATGAATTTAGATCATACACTGTACATGCAATCACTCTATTGCGATGTCACATAAAATATGGAGCTCTTTTCAAAGATTAAGGATTGAAATTAATTGAATATTTACTCTGGTAGATTGTGCTAGTCTCAGTTTAGCTGAGAAATTAGAATTGACCACATTAAAAAAAAAAAAAAAAAAAAACCACCATTAACACTTTAAAATAGTAAAAGTAAAAACAATACAAAAAGCAAATAAACATTAAAAAGAAAGCAACCTTAAATAATTTCCTCAATCTTATTGTTACAGATGTGGTGGCGGCAGCCCGGTAGCCCACTAGTTAGTGCGTCGACCGTGGCGGCGGCCCGGTAGCCCATGGGTTAGCGCGTCGACCACACAGTGCAGAGGTCGTGGGTTCGATCCTGGCGCTGGCCTTCATGTGTGGAGTTTACATGTTCTCTCCGTGCCTGCGTGGGTTTTCTCTGGGTACTCTGGTTTCCTCCCACATTCCAAAAACATGCATGGCAGGCTGATTGAACACTCGAAATTGTCCCTAGGTGTAAGTGTGAGTGTGGATGGTTGTTCGTCTCTGTGTGCTCTGCGATTGGCTGGCAGCCGGTTCAGGGTGTCCCCCGCCTACTGCCCGAAGACAGCTGGGATAGGCTCCAGCACTCTCCGCGACCCTTGTGAGGATAAAGCGGATCGGAAAATGGATGGATGGATGGAGAAGTGGTGGTGGATCTCATTGGATAGTGTAGATGGCTGTCACTCTCAGAAAATTCAGATGGAAAATCGGAATATATTTTCTAGTACTTTACTAAATTTCAACACCCAAAATAGAAAATACACAAGAAAATATAGAAAAAGTAAAAAAAAAAAAAAAAAAAAAAAGAATGAAAATGTAATACAAAAATAAATACCAAATACATTAAAAAGAACTTTCAATGTAAGTAATTGAATACTAACAAAGTTTAAATCTAAATCATTTCCGATATTTGTCCTTTGATTCAATTCCCCACAACAGTGGAAGCAAGAGATGGATCTCACCATGCCAGGCGATCGTATTCTCCCCAGATTCTGACAAACTCGTCCAGGTGATGCGGTCCAAGGATTGAGGAGTCTCGCGTCAGGTACTCAAAGTTATCCATAATGACAGCCACAAACAGATTTAACATCTACAAGCAACAAAGCGTATTAAAACGGAAGACAAACATCATCATCTGTGTCGAGTTCGACTTCTGACCAGAAAGGAGCTGAAGAAGATGAATGAGACAAAGTAACAGTAAGCGAAGTCTGTGCCGCAGCCTCCTTCGTGATCCGGGGACAAGGCGAAGGGGCCGATGGAGGGATCGGGCTCGCACTCCTGACCCGACAGACAGGACAGCATGATCTCCTGCCAGGACTCCCCCGTTGCACTCCTGAGGGTTTAAAAACCAGCGAGTGGCTCATTTGCATAACATTAAGCGACACGGTGAACATCAAGATGTGCTAACGCTGCGTGAGGCCCACCTGAAAAGCAGCATGAGGGCGCCGAAAAAGGTCTTGAAGTTGTTGTGCTGATTGATGTGGCTCTCGTCGTTCAGCTTGATGTTCCCAAACACCTGAAAGACAGGATACCAAAATTGCATTACCAGTAACACCCAATAATAATCGGAATAAGGCGGAACCTCCAAAGGCAACACGATCCACTGCGTAATCATTGTTGACTTCTAAGTTGCTCTAATTAAAAAAAAAAAACCAAAAAACTCCCATAGGAAATAACGTAAATTAATTTGTTGCATAATAAAACCTTCATTAATTTATTCACTTTTTTTTTTTTTTTTTTTTACATGCAGATGATGTTTGAAGCAGCATCTTAAAATTGACACAAAACAAGTTTACCACAATTTATCTGACAAAAACAAGCACAGCTACTTACATTTTATTGACAAGATTCTCTGGTTGTTAGCCTTTATGCTTTTAGCTAGGTGCCTGGTCAAATTAATTGGTCTTTGTAAGTACAAATAGTAATAAGCATAGTCTAGTGTAGCACAAACTGCTGCTGAGATTTACCGATGCGACACATCATGTTGGTTTGAACTGCAGCTCTTAATTTAGTCAAACCCAAATTGTTCCATTTTGGAAGTTCCACTGTGGAGAGCCAACCGGAGACCTCACCTGCATTCCGATGATGGCGTAAATGAAGAAGAGCATGGCGATGAGCAGGCAGACGTAAGGAAGTGCCTGTTGGAAACAAAGGCTCCAACTGATCAGACTGTCAACTTTTTATTGAACGCATGGGGACATATGATCCAAAACGGACTTTAAGATGGCCTGCAAGTCACGTGACTGTCTACTCTGCTTTTGTCTGGGTTTGACAGTTTCCTGGTCGATAGCTGCTGTATTTCAGTGCAGCAGAACCAAAAGGATCTTAGTTGAACTTACTTCATGCTTATCTAATTGCTCACGCAATAACTTTTTTGTGTGTGTGTGTGTGTGTGTGTGTGTGCAGTGCTCGTCTTGAGTTTTTCTAATCTTGTTTAGATGACCTTCCATTCCGTTCGCTCAGATCTGTCCCTGCGCTGGGGCTCCAACCACCTCTTTAATTTCGTCATGTTACTTTGGATGAGTTTCATTTCCATGTGAATGCAGGGTAAGAATTCATTTGTACATCTTCATGGCTTCACCACCGAGGTCTGATCCTTTGCTCCCTGCATATTTCATAGGGGGAGGGGATCCCAGATCACAACAGCTACAGCTACTGTTCTTTAAATTGCCGGATCAAACGGCTCTTGATGGAACCCACTTCAAACGGTTGTGCGAGATTCAGTTCTGGGAAGCACTACACTCTCGACGGCCCGCCTAAAAAGAAGGGTTGAAGATGCAAAACATGTGCGCAGATGAAAATAAATAATTCCTCTTGGGGGAGGTAAAATTTTCCAACCTTGAAAGACTGTACAAAGGTCCAGAGCAGAATGCGAATGGTGTAACCCTGCCTCAGCAGCTTGATCAAGCGGGCCGTCCGGAAGAGTTTTAGGAAACTCATGTTGATGGTGTTCATCGACTGGAACGTAGAAGAGGCAGCACATAGTAGTTTTGGATTTATGAATAATCGAATCACATATTTGGAATGTTTTGGTTTCACCTGTAAATCCACAACAATTTCAGTGATGCTGCCAAGCACCGTGATGAAGTCAAAAATATTCCACGTATCTCTGAAATAATTCTGCGAGAAATAAAAGAACGGCACCGTCATATTTGAATCCTTTCCATTTCTTTTACTTTGCAAACTTTTGTGGCTTTGAGTGTCTTTCCTCACCACAAAACCAAAAGCCATGATCTTGAGAATACACTCCAGGGAGAAAAGGACAGTAAAGGCTGTGTTCAGGTGCTTCAGGACCATGTCATAGGCCGTGGGGGCCGAGTGGTACTGAACAAACATTAGAAGGACACGTTAGGTGATCAAATGAACAGCAAATCTCCATTCATCAATCATATGTACAATTAGAATTTGTCACGAGACTCACAACATGCTCATTCCACTGGAATACATGATGTAATAGACATTACGACTATAATTTTTTAATAATGTATTATGATGTATGCTTGTATGTATGTGTCTATAAGCGTACATTTAAACGTACAAATAAAAGGCACCCGCTTGAACAAATTGATGTTCTAAATCTCTATTCACTGATTGCGATTCATTTGTACAAGACTGGTACACCAGTCGGATAATACTGCATTTTATAACAGAGTATAGAAAATTTGCATACAATGTATCATATAATCAAAATGCAAATATTTTTGAAATGAATATTTTTTTAGGAAAATGCATTTGCACAAATAAGAGCTCCCGATCTAAAAATACCTTGTTGTAAATCTTGAATAACTGATTCTGACCCATTTGTACAAAAGTCAATTTTGCAATATCTTACAATGATTAGGATGGTACAGATTTTGATTCTGTATCCTAAATGGTTCAAAAACAAAAATCACATCAAATGAATCATTTCTACTGGTACACTCTGCGGTTGAGTAATTAGTCTCCTTTATTCCCTATTTGACGAAAGTTCTGTGTCATTTTTACCTTCATCATGAGGACCACTGTGTTAAGGGCGATCATCACCAGCACGGTGTACTCAAAAGACGGAGATGCCACAAAGTGCCACAACTTGTACTGGAAGGTTTGTCTGTTCTGGGGCATGTAGCGCGTCATGGGCTTGGCACTGATGGCAAAGTCAATGCAGGCCCTCTGAAAAAGACAAAAAAAGTAACTTGTGCATTATGCCTCAAGTGCGGTACTTACATGGCAACCACCACTAATCATAAATGCGCAAACTGTTCATCATTTATGCTGGCAAATCCACATGTGGCGATCGGCTTTTTAGGTGGAGCACACCACACGCAGTCGTAAACTGGCACTCAGATTTTCTTTTTTTCTCACCATTTAAAAATCAATCACGGTGTTAAAGATCGGCATGGGTGTACCCTGCATTACAGCGCTTGTGTGTGCGGTGGTTGATGTGACAAGGCCGCACCTCATTCTTCTCCAGGCTGCACTCCTGAATCATCTTGTCACCCTGCTCCTGGAAGGTGATGATTATCAGAGCCACAAAGATGTTGACGAAAAAGAAGGGAAAGACCACAAAGTACACCACGTAGAAAACAGACATCTCCATGCGATTCCCTCGACTTGGCCCCATGCTCTCCTCGGTCACGTCGGTGGAGTGCTGCAGTACCCTGTCGGCCAGACAACCTCAACTTTGTTTCTGTTGTTCGTTTGAATCGTTCATGTCATCCGCGTACTAGAAAGACACTGACTGAGGCCATCCTTCGCCGGTGGAGACGGTGAAGAGAGTGAGGAGGGCCCAGCAAACGTTATCGTAGTGGAACTCGTGTCTCTTCCACTCTCTTCTCTTCACCTCCTTCTTGTCCCTGGTGTAGTCGATGTAGTAGCCCCTGTGAGGCAAACACAAATACATTCTTGAATGGTGACTCCCGGCAATTCGGTACGAGAGCCATCTCATCGAAAATCCCTTTCAAAAAGTCAATGATGCTCACTAATGGTTCAGTACATAACAGCAGACCAAACCATTCCTGGACACCAGTCATAACACTTGTCACTGTCATTCCACAAATCCCATTACGTCGATCACGATTGACCGGCAGTTCATGGACTGGTCCGAAGTCGATCACGATGGGTGTAGAGGAGAAAAAAACCAAACATTTGTGTGGCTCTGTGCATGTTAGTAATATATTTTTTTGTATTAATGCACACTGCACCCCAATCATCCTATCAGTCTCACTTTCATAAAAAGTATTGAAAAAATAAAATAAAATATAGCAGGTCATCTTTAACCTACGGTGGCCCGTTACCTGCGTCACCGGAAGTTGTTAGCGCTCAGCAGGCTGCAATTGCAGCTTGTGGTCAGAGCTGTTGCGCAATATCTTTTATCGTTATCATTATTCTCATTCAGAGTTTGTTTCATGTACAATTCACCGAGGGCACGGGCAAAGAATAGGAATCTGGAGGGGCGAGAGAAGCATTTTAAAACGGTACGCGTGAGCTACGAAAGTTAACAGGCTGCAAAAGTGCGTCGCATGCCTCCGCGTCCGGCTGTTGCTCTTCATGGCATGCGTGTGCATGTGCGTGCGTGTGCGCGGTAATGGGTTGATTGCGGGAGGTTGGTTGATCCAACAGTAGATCTTCGGTCAAAAAAGTTTGGGCAACCCTGTGCTAAGCTATAAACAGGTCATCATGTGCACAGGAAGAAAACTAGTAGATGGGTGGCCTTTTGGTGCGCGCACTTACTGGCACTCCTTCTCTGTGTTCATGGAGCTGTCGGTGCAGTAGAAGAACTTGCCCTTGAAAAGCTGCACGGCGATGACGGCGAAGATGAACATGAAGAGCTGGTACACGATGAGGATATTGAAGACGTTTTTCAGGGACGTCACCACACAGTCAAAGACGGCCTACAAAAATGTACGGGAGAGGAGAGGGGGGCAAATGTCATGATCCTGTTCCTGTGTGTCTCCAGCAGGTGGCAGACAAAGGCCCTTCCTTCAGTGTGCACACCAGCTGCCCATGGTCATTAGATTTAAGGACAGACAAAATGCCTGCAGCTTGTCGGATTCTTGGACCTTGTGGCTGCTCTTGTTCAAGTGTTTGTTCTCTAGACCTCTTGCTCTCGTCATAGTCGTTCTTGTTCTCTTAGTTCAATGTGTTTGTGAGTTATAGTCTTTGTTTTATTTGATCTTGCTTTTCTTTTATCGAGTGAATTGGACACTTGACATTTCGTTTGGTTCTCAGGTTAATTATTTCTTTGCCTTTTGCAAGCGCTTTTTGTGAATGTATTGTTTTTTTTCCATGTTATTGTTGACCAGTGATTTCTGTTCCTACTTCGTGGGTGCGCTTTATGTGAATAAATATTTTTTGTTACAGCGGTTTGTCTGGTGTCTACTTTTCTGGGATCCAAAACATTATTCGGTTTGTTTCGAACTTGACCCAAACAAAAGGCTTGCTGAAGTTCATTTCAAAGAGTGAATGTGCGCAAATGTTTACTTTGAGTTTAGGAAGCCTCTTGATGGTCTTGAGCGGCCGCAGGACTCTCAGAACGCGGAGGGACTTGATGGTCTTGATGTCTCGACCTTTGTTGTTTCTGTTGAAAACGTTAAAATGTGATGTTTAGGGTCAAGCTTGGGCAGTTTTGAACCAGTGCACTTCAACAACATACAAATTCCAGAAAAAAAAATACATACACATTTTAAAGACAATAAAGCACTCCACATTTTGTGCGTGTGATTGTTTTAACTGTATACTGTACATACAAATTAGGTCTAATTCAGGGCTGGCCAAGTCCAGTCCTTGAGAGCCCTTATCCATCCTGTTTGAGATGTCTCCCTCCTCCAACACACCCAAATGAAATAAGGACTGATAATCAGGCTTCTGCAAAGCTTGCATTTCATTCGCGTGTGTTGGAGGAGCGAGTAGTTGAAAACAGACTGAATAGGGTCTTTCAATGACCCGATTTGGGCATCCCTGATCAACTGCCTTAAAATGATTTAAATCCTGCAAGTAGTGCACAAATTATTAAATTACTGGAGTCACAGTAGGCTGACTTAAAAACCATCCATGATTTGAAGGCAAGTATGACAAACGCATGAGTGGACATCTTAACAAAAATATGGGGGGGAAAAAAATCAAATAAGTGAATTTGCGTGTCTCGAACGAGTATGCAGTTGTACTCTGTAATACAATTCATATCAAGTGAAACTGAAGGTTAAAAGTGAGACTGGGTCGAACGAACAAGAGGCATAGCTTCCTGGACCATTAACTCGGACGCGGGTGTACAGTATGTCTCTCATTTTTTAAAAATGTGTGAAACTAAAAAATTGGAGCATACCCCACTGTAGATTGTGTGTCGTGAAATGGCAGGTGTATATGTCTGTCTGAGTCAGGCTCTGCAGTTCAATGAGATTTTGGGAGGCAACAAATAAAATTTAAAAGACACCCAACGAAAGTGCACTGATTTCAACAAAAACCAAAAAGGCAAAACAAAGAACATGACACCAAAGGTTTAGTGTGACATAATTAAATGTTTACCCCATCACATTCCTGGGTGCCCCCACAGAGACAAAATCCACAGGAACAACAGAGAACAAGAGGGCAGAGGCATAAGGAGAGAGACACTGAGCTGGAAGAGTCACACAGCTATAAAGTCACAACAGAGAAATTAACAAGAGGCAAAAGCGTTCAAAAAGGTTATTCGTTACACTGAGAGACAACAGAAATAATTACCGCAAAATCATGACACAATACAATTAAACAGAAATAAGGCTTTGTTTCCTGCGTCATTGAGGCACAATGCAGTGAAAAGTGATATATAACCAGAGTGCAAGGCCACCGGTGACTGGCAGTGAGTCAACACGTTAGTCACTGGCAGACGGGTGCTTATACGGTGACTCACGTCAGAGCGAAGGCAATGAGCGCTCCCACCACCACAATGAAGTCCAGGATGTTCCACATGTCTCGGAAGTAGGAGCCGTCGTGCAGGATGAGGCCCTGGTCGATCATCTTCGATAGACACGAACACAGTTTGAGTCATGTCACAGTGCTGGTTTCACAGCCGTGAATGATGATGTCGCGCGCCTACCTTGATGATCATTTCAAAGGTGAACACCCCAGTGAAGACATAATCAAAATAACGGAGGACCTGATTTAAAAAGCAGAAAGACATGCTTTTGCACAACCAATAGCATTCAGTTAAAGCAGGGGTGTTTTCTCGACCAGCCGTTCGCAATCCCCTTCAAGCTTGGGTTCTCTACCAGAGGCCTGGTAGCTTGAGGGTTCTGCGCAGGATCTTAGCTGTTCCCTGTATTTCACTTTTCTGCATGGAAATGTCATAAATTGTTCCTGGTATCTGCCGCAGGCATCCACCCAGCTTTGGGGTTACTGACCCTAGTGCCCCGATCACGACTGGCACCACTGTTGTCTTTCCCCGACACATTCTCTCCAGTCCTTCCCTCAGTCCTTGGTATTTCTCCACCTTTTTGTTTTAGGGTCATCTATCATGACTGCTGCTGTCTTCTGATGTTTATCCACCACCACTATGTCAGTCTGGCTGGCTATCAACACTTTGTCTGAATCTGGACGTCCAGGCAAACAGGACAGAAAGGATCTCGGCCTAGTGGTTGTCAACCACCTTCTGTGGTGTCTGCCATCTTGATTCTGGTAGTGTTAGTCCATGATTTGTACAGATGTTCCAGTACATTTTTCCTGCTACCTGGTTATGGTACTCCATGTATGCCTTGCCTGCCAGCGTCTTACACCTTGCTGTGATATGTATGCTGCATCTTTTCTTTGCACAATTAAATGGTTCCACCCCAAGCCCAGCATCCTAGGGATGTACACAAAGCGGAAAGACAGCGGCTGTTGAACAGTGATCTTCATGGGCACGATCCCGGAGGACAGAATACATCAAGATGATGGCCGCTTACTGAGTGCCTCAGGCAAAAGAATCCCAGTAAGAAGAAGGAACCAGTAGGACGGCCATGAAAAGACAAGCCCTGTGTACGACCAACAAATTGAAGTAGTAGTTGATATTGAGAAAACATCCCAGTGGCTGGAAAACGATGTACTGAAAGACAGCATGGGGGCACTAATCGTGGCAGCACATGAACGCAAGACTACCTGTTTATTTTAGATCATATGATAAATTTGAGATGTGCATGAAGACAATATAATGTGGATTAACTGGACCTTTTAGAAATCACCCTTTAAAACTGACAACAAGCAAAAAGTGTACACACGTAAATAGTGCAGGCGCAAGTGAACTTCCGTTCATTTATCATCCATCATTTACAATTGCGCACAATTTGTGACCTCAAGATTTGTTTTCTACCTTGTTTCTTTCTGAACTGGTGCATACGGGGTCCTCAGCGGCCAGCGCAATGCTGCTTGCCACAATCACAAGGAGGATGCTCATCTCGAAGTAGCGTATATTGACAATGTAGTGGCAGATTCTTCTGATCCTATGGACCAAATATGGGAAGAACAAACAGTTGTAATTTCACTTTGTGAAAGTAATAGGACTTTGCAACATCTTACGGGTTTGAGGCCTTGAAGAGGAACATGCTGCCCGGAGCAACAGGTTTGGGAGCAATAGGAGGTTCCTCTTCCTCAGTGTCTTCCTCTATGTCTCTCTGTTCAGAATGGTAGGCTTCTACCTCTTTACTGTTCACTAGGAGGCAGAAACTTTGAGTCGGAATTGGTGTGACAAAGATCTTTGTGTCTCCCTGACAACGGCCGAGACTACCTGTCATGGGTGTCAACTCCAGCAGCGGTTGTGCGGACATCTCAATGGCCACGCATCCTTCTGGAATGGACTTGTCACGGTGGAGGGAGCCTGCGCATTTCTCGGGTTCAAGTGTGCACACGCTGTACTCTGTGGCCTCCAGAGCCATCTCCGCTGGGATGCTTGGACAGTCCAGAAGTCGCTCGCACTGAGGAGGCTCGGGAATGTCAGACATCCTGAGACAAAAGACAAATGCAAGGTGGTACAGATATGATCAAAAGACCTCTTTTGAAAGCCCTACACCACGGTGTCCGACACTGGCCCTCAAGGGCCGCCTACCAAGCGCATTTTCGATGCCTCCCTTGTCCAACACAAGCTTTTTGTCAGCAAGCTTTTCAGAAGCCTATTAGCGACCCTGATCATTTGACTCAGGTATGTTGGAGGTGGGAGACATCTACAGCAGGCCAGATGGGAGTTCTCCAGGACCGGAGTTGGACGCCCCTGCCCTACACTCTCAGAAATAGATTCAAATATGTAATCTTGTCAGGAGACTAAAGGCATCTTCCCAAGGGAGCACAGGTACCGTCCCCAAAAGATACCTAACTCGAAACATTTCCTTGACTAATAAGGTATTAAAAGGGACTGAAAAATCCCAAGGGAGCACAGAAATCTCCCCGAGGAAGTATATTTAACTTCCTAAGGGAGCAGAAGTATGCTTAGAATGTACAGGTACTGTCTCTTCCCAAGAGAGTCCAGGGACTATCTCAGTGTATCTTCCCAAGGGACTAAAGGTGTATTCCCAATAGGGCAGGGGTGTCCAAACTCAAGAGCCGATGTCCTACCTGCTTTCCATCGCTCCCTGCTGAAACACACCTAATTTAAAGGATCAGCTCATCAGCAAGCTCTGAAGAAGCAAGATAATGCTCGTGATAATTTGAATCAAGTGTGTTGCAGCAGGGAGAGATGGAAAACAACAGGCAGGACAGCAGCCCTTGAGGACCGTCTTTGGACACCGCTTCTACAGTATCGGGACTAAAGGTATCTTCCTAATGGAGTCCAGTTCATCCAGTTCATCCAGATCAAGGGAGTTCCCCCCCCCCCCCCCAGTAATAAGACACTGTCAAGGTAACCTTTTTCTGACAGTCTACCTTCCATCTTCTCCAATGTCTGCATAAGGGTTGACGATAGACATTCCAGTATCATCCTGGAGCTGGCTTTCTGCATCAGCTTTCTCCTCATGCTCCTCTCTCTCATCCAGGATCCTCCTCTCTTGACTGAGTGAGCGCTTGAACAACAGCGGATCATGTGGGGTCGGTGCGCAGTCCAGGCTCTTGGCCTCAGTGCGAGCCTCTCGGTGACGGTGGCGTCTGTGTCTGGCCCCTTCCTCTGGCCCTTGACCTGGTCTGAACTTGCGGGCCATCCTGTGCCGACCTCCGCCTGTAGCTCGGTGGTTAGTGCCACCTGTATACTCCTCAGTGAGGTTGACCAAAGGCTCGGCCACAGGGGGTTCGGGTATGGGGATGGTTATGGACATGGGCGGCTCAGGTAAGGGCATCCCCACAGACATGGGAGACTCGGGCAGGTGGGTGGGGCTGGCTTCGGTGGACAATGCAGGCACATGTTGGGTACTGGGGGCTTCGATGGTGTCCTCGGCGGGGCTGCTGAAGAGCTCCTCCCTGCTAGCCATCTGGCGGCGTTTGCGTAGCTGATTGGCCCTCTGCTCCCAAACGGACATGTTGACTTTTCTTCGCCTCTCGCGGCGGTTGGCGAAGGCGTTAGAGCTGTTGAGGGGCTGCTCATCTGGGGACGCCATCGCTCCGTCTGCATCATCGGGGAAAGTAGGTCGGCCTCGGTGGATGGCGCGTTTTCTGTAGAGGTAGGGTCTTCTTCGACCACTAAAGAGCACAATACACACAATATGAATACTTGGCAGCAAACAACCCAATTTTAAATAACTAGTTTGACATTTTGGACATTTGAGTGAGACGACTGATTCTTATCGAGTATCTATTGAAACCTAATGTAGCTTAGCCAAGCACAGCATATACAGTTAGAGAGAGAAACACCTAGCCAGCTTCTGCCTAAAAAGTTAAATGTTCGGTGCTAGATAATATGAAAATGACTCTGAATTCAATATTGCTGAGTCCATAAAGCAAAACCAGAGGACAGTATGCTGTTTTGTTTTTGACTGAATAAGTGAAGTCCCGCTAGTTGTTTCCCTGTGCGAAGCCAACAGATTTCAGAACAAATTCTACTTGTCACTATTTCTTAAATGCAAGCAGATTTTCCAAAAGGTCAAACTACTGCTTCAGTGGTGGAAAACAACATTCAGACTAATATTCATGTAGCATACCAGATATGCAAGAAATTAAACAAACAAACAAAAACTGAAATTTGCCAGAAAAGATTAGGCCTTTTCTGTGACTCTAAAACTGTAATGGGGAAAATATGTGAAATAGTCCAAGCTAAAGAAATAAAGGCATCCAAAAAAAGAAGAAAACATGAGGTTACCTGGGAGATAATAAAACCCACAAGACCACAAACGGGAAAGTGCAGGATTAACACAAAAGCATAGTGTCAAATCTAAAGAACGGAATCTCAACAAGTGTTTCAGGGAGACATTTCTAGAGAAGAAGACAAATGCATACAGTTTTACTTACTGTAATTCTGATTCTGTTGTTGTCCATGTAATAAATGAGTGATGATTTGAAAACAAGACATTAGTTTTACAACATACACAGAACAGTGGGGACACAGTCCAAAACGTGACCTCCAATTAACATTATGTGCAATTTTACAGTTTTTCATGATATGGCCACTACAGTAAATGGATGCATTTTAAATAATCTGCATGATTATTATAGCATCTAAGGTGAAATGTGCTCTCGTGGTGACCAAGTTTCATTTTGGCCTGTGCCACTTTCCAACAGGCATAAAACGAGACAACGTGATGGAATAGCAAAACACATTAAAACACTGCAAAATTATCTATACAGTACATCCAACAAACAAATGACACAATGAGAGCGTTTTAGCACACCCTTGAAATTGCTGCATTGAAAATAACCTACTGTGCGTTGAAAAAAAAAAAAACAACCAAAAACAAAAAAAAAAAACGATATGAAGTTTTATGGGTGCAGTCTACATTGAAAATAATGGTGTGTTGAATTAACTCAATTTTATTTCATCAACTGGTTGGAGGAAATAAAACCATATGGATCAAGATACATTTTTTTTAAGTACACTATAATCTACTTAAAAAATGTCTAAATCTAAATCCAGGTGATTCCATTGTGTGCCCAGCCGCTGAACCCAGCTGTCTTCGGGCAGTAGGCGGGGGACACCCTGAACCAGTTGCCAGCCAATCACAGGGCACACAGAGACGAACAACCATCCACGCTCACATTCAAACCTATGGACAATTTAGAGTGTTCAATCAGAATGTTTTTGGAATGTGTGAGGAAACCGGAGTACCCGGAGAAAACCCATATATATATATATATATATATATATATATATATATATATGAAATTAAATTCAATTAAAAAACTGATTTAAAGCGATATTAAGTTAATGAAAAAAAACTGCTTCAACAGAAGTGTCACATTTTTTAAGGCTCTAAATGTGAGTTTTCATATCTGTTGATCCATCCAAATATTTGGTACTGATTTGTAAATTAGTTCAATAAAAGCATGCAAAGCTAATGTGCACAGCCTGAGCGGATGCCATGTCCATGCTTGGATGAGACACTGTTAAATTTTGGGGGGAGAGTGAGGGGGGCACGAGCGTCATTGTTTTTTTCCGGTGTGACGCTGTAGTCATTAATGGGATATCTACCTTCCAAAGTGTGTCTTCTCCCACTAGAGCCACACAGACTGACTAAATAGCTGCAGTCTGACTTGAGCGAATCATGAGGTGCCAGGTCACTGCCAGGCCAAATTTATGACCAATCTCCGAGCAAAAGAATAGAAAAAAATCTTCAGAGTTCATTACACATCTAGTGGTGTTCAGGATCCATTCAGAACACATCAAATGAAGCAACGGGGGAAACAAGTCAATTTTTTTTCTCCCATCCTGGCATGGTCACGTGTTTATGTTAACCCTTAACTTACTCAGATATTAAGCCATCTCTGCCTCTGGCATACCGTTGGTTGAAGAACTCTTCCTCCTCCTCTTCATCCTAGCAAAGTGAATCGGGAGGTTGTTTGATTCAAGACACACATTCAATTGCATTTTAGGGGGGAAGCGCCCTTCACATGGGCATTTAGAGAACAGCAAAAGGAGCCGGTAAAGATCAAACCTTTGTCAGTTCCTGTGCATTGGCCAGATTATCCACAGCGATGGCCAAAAAGACATTGAGGAGTGTATCTGACAGAGACAGCGTTAAGAACAAATGCCACTGACTTATTTGCATGACACGAGTATTCTATCTTTACCATCTTATCTTTGTCTTTTTTTTTTTTTAGAAAGCTTTCTGTTTTATGGAGGTATTTGCTCAGACCCGCAATTCCGAAGCGTGTTATTGCTTTTCTCAATGCAAACACTTAAATCGCAACGGGAAAATTGGACTTTTTACTGCCCCCAAAACCAAACGCGAAATCATGCAGAGAGAAGCAACCATGCGGCAAATATAGCAGAGTATTGCTGGAAGGTCCGAGCACCAAGACAAGCATCCTATGCTTCTCACAGCCACTAGGGAGCATGCTTGCATGATACGCTGGAATCAAGAGAAAACAACACAATATTTTGTGAGATTTGTGTCCTGAATTCCATTCTCATCCCAACTACTCATTGCACATCCTGTACATTAAAATCGAGACTATTTCCAGTTTCGTGATGATGAAACAAGTGAGAACTCATTGTACTCTTCAGTGTCATCAAGGATACAGTTTCCAAACAGGGTGAGCACAATGAAGTAGATGGACGACCACATGCCGTACTGCACGCCTCCTTGGGAGCGAATGCCGTTGTACATCACTTCATTCCAGTCTTCACCCGTCAATATCTGCAAGTTGATAAGCAGAGTATTTAGTTTGACTAAACACGAGAGCTACTGAGTGGCATCAAGAATTCTGCATGTGTCAGGAAAACGTTTTAAGATATGAATTTGAATGTTGACGAGACTCCGTAAAGATACATTTTTCTTCTGTGGAGACCCTATCAAGCAAAAAAAAATAAAAAATACTGCGATTTTGAGAAACAAGACACATGAATGACATCTTTTGGTCAAGGTCAAATGTTTTGATATAGCTCTTCTATTAGATGTCACCTCCATCTTATGTTGTGACTGGCAAGTGGAGTGGACTTGCAAAGCGCTATATAAATCAGCATGTATTGTATTGTATAAATATAGTTCGGAAAAAAAAAACATCAAGTAAACATAGCGGGTTGTGAGAATGAAGCCTCCGTTGTGTTTGTGGCAGCTCTGACGGGTATTTAGTTCATGTGTATGATGGTGATGCGCGCATATGTGTGCATGGACGTGTAGGCGGGCAGCGGAGGCGAGGTCGGGATGGCGAGCGAGTTTTTTAATCTGTGCCCGGTGTGAGAAATCTCCCAGGGTGCAATGTGTCATGAAGGCAGAATGCGGAGAGGAGGAGGGGGAACCAAACCTGAAAGACTGTCATGATCGCAGCTGGAAACGTGTCAAAGTTGGTGGGAGTGTAATCTTCAAAGATGAACCTAGAGGGGAGGAAGATGGAGAATCAAAGCATGGGCAGCCAAGGAGGAGGAAGATGCTCAGCTATTTTCATTTCCTCTGTGTCTCCATGAGGAACGTCAATGAAGCTTTTGCACTATACAGTACCGGCTCAGCTCTACTCGCCAAGGTTTGAGACAGTCAACTCGAAAATACAACACACACCCTTGGTTTTGTGTTTGGCTTAAATGATGATGCGTGACTGAGGGGCCACATAGGACCGATCACTTCCGAACCAAGCTGACATTTTAAACACGGATGAAATGCATGCATACGTCTGAACATCCTAGTACAGTGGTTCTTAACCTTTTTAGAGGTACCAAACCCAACCAGTTAATATGCACATTCATCGAACCCTTCATGAGTGAAAAATAAATATATATATTTTACAAATTCAAGATATTTAAAAAAATGCATTTATTAAAAACAGAAAAGAGTAAATACAATTTCAAGAGATACGTATCCTTTTTTTTTTTTTTTAATTGTACTATCACGACAGTCACACATTGACTACTAAGCGAACTTGTCATGTTTCGGTTTGTGACCAATAGGTGGCACTGTGGGGCTTTTCCCTGCAGCTGCACACCTGTTGGTCGTTAGGTAATTAGTGGCTATAAAAGGACTCCCGCCGTCGGGTCATTGTTTGTTGCTGTTTGTTGGCTCCTGTCATGTTTGTTTCAGTCAGGTTTTGGTCATTGTTATGTTTTATCTTCAGTCATGTGTTTTGTTTGATACTTTGGACTTTGTTTGTTTAGGATTTAGTTTTATCTGTTTTAATACAATTCATCAAGTACAACCTGCTCCTCTCTCGTGCCTGCTTTTTGGAGTCCACCACCACCACGCATCATGACAGAACTAAATTTCCCACAGCACTGATTAGACAAGCAATGTAATGTGATCATCTGCAGCTAGTGATGGCCAAGCGGGCGAGTCATAACTAATTGACATGTTGAGTCGCGTGTGTCTTAACCTCCATGGCAGAGGGTCCGTTGAACCCCTGAGACCAATTCACCAAACCCCTGGGGTTCAATTGAACCCAGGTTAAGAAACACTGTCCTAGTATCTTAATAGATGTCATTTTTCATAATCCACATTTGAATGCCTGTATAAAAGGTAAAGCCTTCAACAACAAAGGGTTTGAATAATCCCCCAAAATAACCAAATACTGTGTTGTTTTTTTCCAGTCAAAAAAAGCGCTCGTGCATAAAAATACCATTCAAGGACAGAGGAAAGCTGCTGAACAGCAAACCAACATTAACTGCAAGAATTCATTGAGTGCATTTTTTACAAAAATCAACTCACTCAAAATTTTAATATAGAAGTACTAAATTCCTCCCGCGTGTCATTCCAAAGCCACAAAAAATTAGTAGGCCTACCAACGTTCTAGTCAAGACCAAAACTAAGTCATGTCTGCCATCTGGTGGTGAATGGTGATATCACAACTCAGAAGTATGCAGTCTCTCTGTGTGGCCCAGAGGTTGCGGACCCCGATACTCTTCTGTAGACTGTTGCTGGTGCATAGATATATGCACAAGAGAATCCTGGAGATCCACCCTCTGACACATTAGGTGAATGATCCTCTTGGAATATTCTAGGTTAAAAGCGGCTTTGTCATTTGATTCACCCCCAGATGAATCACTGTAATCTGAGGGTATTTACTTGGCTACTTGGCAAGTGTCTCCTTGTCTGAAGAAAGTTTTGTATGCAAATGCACAGAAACACACTAAGTGTAAATCAGGTGCCCTTTTTAATATTTTCAGTGTGCTTATGCAGCACTCATGTCCAACCCTGAGTATAAAAGGTCTTCTGACCAACGGGGCTGCTACAGATCCCCCTCATTATTACTGAGCTGCTTCATAACCACAAACATAATTACTGCACACAGGGAGTTAGGAAACAACCTTGGATCGTAAGCCACGTGCTGCTATTGTGATTGCATGTTGCGGCCTGTACTGATAAATGGAGGAAGGTAGACATTTTGTACCCTTAAACGTTAAATTGATGAATCACACTTGAAACATAGAACCATACCAACCGAATGTGTCATTCGAAAGTGAGTGGCGGCAAGCGGATACGCAGTGGAAAAGGGGCATTGCTAGCAACAAGCTAAGACCGCTACGTCCTACCGTCCTCCGAAAAGTTGCATTCCCAGCAGAGCAAACACCACAATGAAGAGGAACAGCAGGAAAAGCAGACTGATGATGGACTTCATGGAGCTCATGAGCGACACAACCAGGTTCCTGAGAGAGGCCCAGTATCTGACAAAGAAAAATACAAACTCTAACATGAAAAGTACAAATTGTTGAGGGGGCGTGGTGGTGTCTTGCTTACTTGGTAATCTTGAAAATCCTCAGAAGTCTCAGCGCCCTCAGCACGCTGATGCCAAACGACATGCCAGGCCGGAAGAAGCCATAAACCACCTCGAAGATGCTGCCCACAATAACCTGCAAAAAAAAATCAAGTTCAACTGCCATTGTAGTTTGTCTGCCATACTCAAAGTACTGACACCACTAAATTTCTCATTTTGGCATTCACAAAATCCATTTGAAAACCTGAAATGTGAGCTATTTAAAGAGGGTACATTATGGAAAATTGAGTTTTTATACACATGATATAGCTGGAGTATCAGCATAGCTCAATGTTAGCTAACCGTGTTTCCAGCATTTACTTTTGATGACCAGAACATCCTAAAAAGTTTGGCTAAGCCGCAGATGTGAAGGCGGGGGCCATTTGTGTTGGGTGAACTGCATTCATTGACCGATTAAGAGTAATTTGTACTGCGTGGTGATGACCTGCTTTCTAAATGAAGGAAAATGCAATTGAATCTTCACAAACGCTCACTTCACTTGAATAGAATTTTCATGTTGTCTTTGCAGTCAAGTGCTAGGGTCTGTGCTTTGCAGTTTTCATGAGATTCAGGGTGCTAGCTAAGCGCAGCATACTTTGCTCTGACACTCGTTGTTATGGTAATGAAATGAATGAAACCCATACACATCATTGCACCAGCAACATATAGAATATACAGTATAAGACAAGTGTAATTTGAGCAATAATTCTTGATTGTTGGTGTATTTTGACAACAAAGAATGAGGACACCTGGGACATGTCATATCTATATAAAAAGCATAATGTCTCATATAAACGTAGGGCTAATATGTCTTCTTTAATAGTCAGAAATCACAGGGCACTCACACCACAGTCGAAGCAGTTGAAAGACGAATGGAAGTAGAGACGGAAACCCAAACCATACATCTTCAGGAACATCTCAGCTAGGAACAGCCCGAGGAACACAAATTCCGCATAGTCTGGAGAGAAGAAAACAAACAAACCATGAGATCAAAATAAATGCCATCTGCCACTCAAGAAGTGGCGACCCACAGAGGAAGATGGTGAGCCAGTCGGGTTGGTTGTGGTGCACGATGGCCACGCAGATGGTGTTGAGAGCCACCAGGCTAAGCACCATCAGGTAGAACGTGTCCGTCTTCACCATGCGGCGGATGGAGATGCGCAACATGCGCTCTTTGCGACGCAAGTAGGCGGCCGGACCACGCCGACCGCTGCGGAAGTTCATCCTGGAGCGGGACATGCCTGTCAGACAGAGATGGGGGTGTGGGGAGAGTCCACATATTATTTAGCTATTATGCACAATATAATTCAAGAGACAGAAAGTTACAAGGCGAGTTAAAGGCTCACTGGCAGTGGACATGTCCGCGTACTTGTCATCGCCCGGGGCTCCTCGACGTGCGCCTGTCTTCTTACTCGCTCTCTTCAGCACTTTTGACATGAAAACTCTAGTTCAATGACGAGTTTTAATAACTGACATTCAGAAAATAGAGTACCGTAACAAAGAAAGTATTAGGCTCTCTATTCTCTTCAACAAGGGTGTCCAAACATTTTCATTTGAGGGCTGCATACAGAAACATGGAAAGGGTCACTTCAAAATTGAACAAACTGTGGTAAGGTGAACATTTTTCACTTGAGGATGATTAATGTAATGTCTTCATAAATCATCCATCGAGCACAAAGTGGAAGAAATTATTTTTGCCTCTAAAACTGAATGATCATTATTCCCTATGGTGTTTTGAAGATAAATGGTGTTCTTTTTTTAATCATAAATGGTTCACTTGTATCTTCCATTATAGAGAAAAGTTCTACCATCCTCCCTTCTCATTCTGTCCAACTTCCCTTTTTTTTTAACTGATCTTGAAGCCCATGTCAAATGTCATTTTTAGTTTTTCTTTTTTTTGGGGGGGGTGGCGGTCACGACGCGGGCCACTGAAAAATGGATGGCGGGCAGCAAATGGCCCCCTGGCTGTAGTTTGGACACCACTGCTCCACAACTTAAGTGGTATACAGACATACTGAAAATCAGGTTGTTCAATATTTACAATCGGAAAATCCTCCTGGATGTGATCAACACAGAGCTAGGCTATGCCACGGACTCATTGACTATAACGGAAATGCTAGCGTGTCAGGAAATTAGCTAAAGCTGTCGCTGTGGCCTGACACAAATAGAGGAGCAACTAGTGTATTGTGTCTTGGTGTAACATGTCTCCTAAGTCATTTACCACAATAAAAAAATCACAAGGAGAAAAGTTTGTTGTCACAATGTAGTTCCAAGATAAGCTAACAGTTAGCCTAGCTTCTTCAATATTCTTGTTTCCTAACACTATTCACATGTATGTGGTTGGCTGTGCTGGTTAGCCCGATTATCCCACGTCGTATGACGGAGGTAAATACGCACAAGCCCATTTTCATCTATGGGGTCTATCACGATTTCAAAAAAAGTTCTTGGAATTCCTTGGAACAAAATTAGAATGAAATGAAATTCGATCAATCTTTTTTTCTTTTTTTAATGGTTAGTTTATAAACACAATTCTTGAAATTTATACCCAGGTTACAGTAAGGCTTAATCCTATGATCCCAAAATGGCCATTGGACAAAAAAAAAAGCATTTAAAATGACTGGATTGATGTGACTAGAATATTATGTCAATTTTAGGAATACATTTTGTACACTTTGTCCACTATTAATCCAAAGTGAATTTAAAATATGCAAATATAGTCAGTGGACAGTGATTATATTTTAGGTAGAAGCAATGACAGTTACTGTAAGTAAAGTGAGACTGAGTCCTTGACTCTTTACCATCTAATGCCGATCTCCCCGAATTCTTGTTCTCCTCTGCCAGCATCACCTCCTCTGTTGAGACAGATCAAGGGAAAGTTTCAAACAGAATTTCCATAAATAATAGCTGGAGGCTCAATTGTAGATGGCTGGAAGGCATCTAACAGGAGTTTAAAAACAAAAGAAAAGTATGTTATGGAGAAATGCGGAGAAACGGCGAGACACGAGGTTGGCCGGCTGAGGTTAATCAATAGCGTAGCTTCCCGCAATACAACCATGGACGCACACAACATTATGAAATGATCACGTGTCAGAGTCGAGTGGAACACTAATCGGTGAACATGCCTGAAAGATCATTCTTAATCCTGCGCAGGGGATTTGTTTCATACATACAGTAAGCGTCTACCCTTGAAGACTGTTTGCGGGCTTCAGTTAGTGCTGCTGTTTTGGTTAGCACCAGAGTTCAACTGAGCTACGAACTGAGGTGCAGTCTTTGCCATATAAAACTGGCACTGTGGAAATTAACTGTCAATAAATAGTCGTGGTCAATTATGTTGTATGCAGTCTTCTTGGAAGATCGATAGCCCACTGAATTTTTCGCGGAAGGAAGATTTAGCCTTTGACTGTTGATACAAATCAGGGATGGGTAACTTAAATGGTGGAAGGAGTCATGAGTGTTCAGCAGTATGACTGGTTGGTGGTCGGAGGGTGGCAGGGGGCACTGACGACCACACATTTTTTAACCACGCTCTTGCATCAAAATGACCATTCAAGGACACCACAAAGCTGCTGATACTACAACGTAAAACTACAGTAGATCCCTGCAGTTCAGCAGTCGCGTACTTGCATATGTGCAGATTTTTGTTCCTTTTCTTGGAATATTTTTTTCAGACTTTTTCATTGTTTCCTGTATTTTCCGTGATCCCCCCACCCCATTCTCCTGTTTTTACGTAGAAAATATGCATAGAATGTTTATCAGTGTTTCGGGAAGAATATTTTGGGTTTGTGAAATAATTTGGTTCTTTTTAAATTACGGAATGAAGGGGTCACGTAGAGTGCGTTTGCAGTCCAAAGTTGCCCATCCCTGATATACAGTTCAACTCCCCTCTGATGCATATGGTTGCCATGTAAGCCCCCCTTCAGGTAATTGCCAGGGTACCCTGCCTCATTTGCCAGCATGTACCGTACCAGTCCTAACAATTATAACCATCCATCCACCTATTTTCCGACCCGCTTATCTCATTTTTTTTCCTGTGCGAGGGAACCATTTGTGAATGCTGCACTCGGTGACTAATTGGGGCAAGTGCCTATTAGTCTATTTGAGGAAATACGATACACACTGAGTGGCCGGTTTCGATTTTGGGAGCGAGGCTGGCACTGATGTAAACGCTCAGAGGCCCGTGTGACCTCCTTGATAGAAGGAGCTCTCATTCCCTTCGCAGTGCTCGCAATATCTCTCACTCTCGCTTCCCACACTCTCCCACACACACACACACACACACACACACACACACACACACACACACACACACACACACACACACACACACACACACACACACACAAAATTCACTATGTGCACACGACACACACACACACACACACAATTCACATGCATACTTGTGCACACATTTACTGTAAAGCCAGTGAGTCAGTATCACCTTTTTGTCACCCTCTACTTGCGTGGGAGACGGCCAGTGCAGACGTCGTTATCGCGCTTGTGTGTGCAGCCCTACAGCACAGACGCCCGGCGATATCCGAAAATGACGTCGGGTGAGTTTAGCTCCAGAAAAAAATGGCGCGTGCAGTTCCAGGTGTGCATGGCAGAGTGTTGCCGTACCTGCCCTGTCTATCCAGGCGCGGTAGCCGTTGAGTTCACGCTCCACCTGCTGCTGCCTCCGCAGCTTCATGAAGGCCCGCCTGTTCTCCACCCGCTCCCTCTCCTTTGCGA